CGCTTTTGCTGTTATGCTCACACACTTTTGCGCGTTTGTGTGTTGCTTGTGTGTGTGTGTGTGTGTGTGTGTGTGTGTGCTTGCATGCGTTCATGGGCATGTGCGCTTTAGCTGTTATGCTCACACACTTGTGCGTTTGTGTGCTTCTCGGCTGTCTCTGTGAACTCTCTGAAAAGCGGTTTTCTACAAGCGATGAGGAGTACGCAGAGCGGGTGAGTGCAATTTGCATGAAATCATCATTGAAATGGAAGCGAGCACATGAAATCATCATTGATATGGATCTGAGTGTGGTGTTTGTTCAGTAAGAAGATTTGCATGCTTGTCGAGCAATCAGATTTCTTTTATTAAAAACAAAATTGGGCTGTCAGTTGTTCTCGTTCTCTTTTCTTGTGCGTGAAAATTATGTCTTGCCTCTTGAGAGGAATGCCAAAGTTCATCAGCTGAACTTTGAACTTTGCCATTTTCTGATGAACAAAGCACAGTACGAGGAATGAGCCCTCGCGGGGCCCTTATCAGACATGCACATGTTCTGGGCAGAGGCCCTCAGAAAGCCCCGTGCCCGCCCTATAGTGAAGGCGGGCCTGAATATTCACAAGAGGCCAAAACTTGACATTTTCAGTATGTGGGTACTCAGACAGTTGCCGCACGCCAGTTGGTTACTTGGACACGTGAGCCTCCCTGCGCCAGGCAGTTGCGCCTGGGCTCCACATTGCGAGGCAGATACATCACGAAGTGGCCAACGGCCTTAAAAAAAAAAATAATAATAAAAAAAAAAAAATAGCGGCATTGTCGACGTACGTGCCCCGAGGCCTGGGTAAATACAGCAAACGGCCCAAGTCTGGAAATCCTGGGTGTGCCCAACCGAAATAGGCCCAGGGCCTGGACGCAGACACTGAGGTCCGACCAGAAGCTACTGGAGGCTTCCCAGCCAGGCCACAGGCACCCAGACACGGGCTGCCACTTCCATATAGGAAGAGAGGCAGCCAGGGTCGGGCATTCTGGCCCACGCAGGCAATGCGGTCACGCTGCTGCGCTGCTGTGTTAGAGGCTGCGTGCTGCGTTGATGCCAGGGCGCATGCAGGCGCGTATGAGGTGAGAGGGGCGGTACCGGCCAGCGGAGCGCAAGCAGCCATAGCCGGGCTGCTGGGCGCTAGAGGGTAAGAGGGCGATCGGTGGTCTTCAGGAAGGAGGCGAGTGTGGGTGGTCAGGGTATGATGAGGGGAGACGAGATACGTGCCTGGTGCATGAAGGAGGTCGGCTATGGTGTTGATGTCGTGTACATTGGTCTTCAAACTCAAAGTGAGCCTGTTGCGTGAATGCGGATGTTGTAGGATAGGCAAGTAGTGTAGGCTGGGCACTGGGGCGCTAGACAGCGAGGAGCGACATTGGATACTGTGTTGGTGTGGCCTGAGGGCTCAAACATTGGCTCATGAGTTCATTGTATTTCTCTTAATTGGATGGAATCTCGGTGCATTTGTGCTTTCTGCTTGTACACGACTACTTGGACATCTGTGTGATTTCGCAACTTGGTTTTCTGTATATCGTTCTCACTCATATTCCTTGCAATTTGGTATCAGAGGTGGTTCGTGATTGCCACTTACCTGGCGTCGGCGACATTGTTACTTGGTGCGCTGACGATGCTTCTGTGCAGTGAGGATACTTTGGTGCTGGCTTGTTAAGCGGGACCCGGGTAGAGGGGTTCACCGCTGGAAGGCTGTGGCGACAGTGTGGGAGCTGCGGCAACAGGGGATGTATGTATGATGATGAGAACATGCTGATGTGGCATTTTGGATGAGGTGGCCCTGCATCGCGTTGTGGGTGGTATCGAAGCTATGACCGGTTAACAAAATGCACGTCGGCTCAATTCGTGAGAAATCTGTGGTTGGGGGCAGCTATCTCCAGGTACGCTGTTCCCTTACCTTATCTATCCTCTCAATCTCTTCTTACCGTGAGGAAGTGAGTCCAACCTTGAGTGTCCTCTCTTTTGTGTGAGCAGTCGTGAGCGCTCTACCTTGACAAACGGCATTCTTCCCAGTGGCGCATCTGGCAAGAGAGGGCGGTGCCTCTGAAGGGCCCTGGTCGAAGCACGGGTCACGGTCACCATGCCAACCCATGGGAGTAGTACACGCAGGCCATGCTGCTTTGTCCTTTGAGCCTTTGCTGCGCTGATAGAAGGGGTGTGCGGACTGACCAGTCCTATGCAGACGCTATCCAGACCGTCTATAAATATTTCTGGCGGGGGTCTAAACTGTCCACTGGCTGTGATCGTCGTCCTGTCTGCGACGTTAAATAATTCCTGAGGACCTTGGGGGTTGTCCTTAAACTGCCTCTTGACGTAAGGCTCGTTGCACACAAGGATAAATAACGGGCAGTTCTGGTCATAAGCATACCCCTTGGGCATAGGGGTAGGCTGTTAATGCACACCTTAGACACTGTTGCTCGATGATGACTACAGGCATGTTGGATACAGGGGAGGAAGATTCCAATTGAGTCTCAACTGGCAAACACAGCTATACCCATTGTGCATAGATCTACTCACTTAATTTATTTTTATTTTGATTAGTTGGTTGACAGACTGCTAACACCTTACAGACAGTCTAGACTACCGTCTTCCCCCGAACATAACGCACCCTAATCATGAATGTACACAAGCTATTTTTTTGGTCTGGTACAGTCATAATGAGGTTGCTTTGTGTTTGGGGAAGACGGTAGGACTGTAATGTTCTACCATAGTCAATTCTTCTCAAAGCTTCTGTAAGTGAACTAATCAAACTAGATTTAAATTATGTGTACAGTCTGTGTAAATGTTGCTGATACCGCTTGAACGGTAGCCTAGGTTACCTGCCGGACATTATTTTATTTTTATTTATGTTTAGAACCGGTCAGACGCATGCTGCGGTGGGTTACAGAGTAAACATTAGTGCAGACAGCGGCCGTCTAGCCGATGAGTGGATCAGAAGGTGGTGAAGGTACAACTGACGACAAAAGGCAGACTAGGCATGATACGCTAAGGGTACCTATAGTGTTCCAGGTCCTACTACCCCGAGACGAAAGGAGGTGAAGGGTTGAAGCAAGGGCCCGCAATCTTGAGATTGCAAGGGAGGCAGCAGCAGTTGTAGAAAGGACGTTAGCATAAGCAATGGCTACTTCTGCAACATCGTCTGCAGCATCGCCAGGGGCGTCCTCCTTTGGTCAGTTGCTCGGCATGCCGCAAAACTTGACCAACGGGCAATCTAGCATTAGTACGTCAGGAGCTGGTACCAGTCAGATGGCGGGCTCGCAGTTCAGCTCGTCGCCCCCACGCACCAGGGAACAGATAGAACTCCAGCAAGTGGAGTTGATCCGCTTAAGGTTAAAGAAGGAACTTAAGGAGGCTACCGAAAGAGAAAACGAGATTAGAAATAGAAGTCTCAGGCTTGAGGGTAGAGAGGGAGACAAAGGTGTTGTAGAGGGGTTAGATGACGCTGTCATTGTCGCCAACATAAAAGTCCTCAAGGCAGGTCTTCTGCCCATGCATGCACACATGGACAGCAGACTGGACGCTATCTAGGACACCCTAGACCAGATCCTGAATGCCATGCACAGGCCAGGTTTCAGGCCAGCAGTTTTGCCATCGCTGCCATTATCGGCAATAGCAGACCCTTATCCGCCTCGGTCTAGTACCACACCAAGCAGTACTTCAACAACAACCTTATCTTAGACTGTTGCTTCTACTTCTTCTGGTCCAGGGGTTGGAGCTACACCACAACCGCAACCTGTTCCACCTACGGGACAGCAACAACCTTGGTACCCCAAGACCCCATTGAAAGCACCCTCAAACTTCTCAGGGGATAAGAAGGATGAGGCTATCGACACTTGGTTGAGAACGGTGCCAGTATGGGTGAGGGTGAAGAGGACGTTGGTAGAGGAGGAAGTGATAACTGCTGCATCCTATATGGAGGGTTCGGCAGCTCGTTGGCTAAGTGGATTAGTTGCCTCAAAGGGATTCGGCAGGAACAAGGGAGATTGGGCTAAGACCCGTACCCTAGAGAGCTTTATGGATTTGATGGAAGCGTGTTGGCACAACCCACAACAGACATAGATTGCCACTGATGCGTTGACCCAACTTGATACTTAAGAAGAGGTCTGTGCGTGAACTCACCTCTGTCGTCGAGCGCCTGATTGTCATCATCGGGGTACAGTGTGATCCTCAGGTCTTAATGACCATGTTCTTGAGATGTCCTCCCACAGACGTCAAGAACTTATTAGCCAGCGAGGCTCGGCTAGAGTATCACACATTTGAGACCTTTAGCAAGAAGGCTCTAGATTTGGAGGCCACGCTAAGAGGTGCTCAACAACTCCCTATAGACGGAAGAAAGAAGAAGAGTCCACAAGAGTGGAAAAAGAAGAGGAGCCGATTGATGATGGTTGAGGCCGATGAGACTCAAATCGAGATCGAGGACTTTTCTGACTTAGTGGACGATTCAGAGTTGGACAGCGAGGATAGTGCTGAGGGTAGCAACCTCGCTGCATTGGTAAAGGTTAAGGCATGTGGGCGCGGCAAGGGCGGTCAACAAAGGAGTCAGGGGCAAACCCAGAACCCGAACAAAATAGCGGCTTCGGTTAGAGCGGGTTTGGATCAAGATGTGTGGCGGGACCGTTATACGTGGGGTGCTTGCATTAACTGCGGCGAGCATGGCCATCAACACTTCAAACGCAAGAACGCAAAGGTTTCACAGAAGATACCACGTAAAGGTGGGATTCCTTCTTCCCAGAGTGGGGCCTCTATGAGTTCCAGCTCGGGAAACACGCAGGGCCAGTTGAAGTTGTAGCTGCTTCCACTCGTGTTGAAGCGGGTGATTTACCCTCCCCGTTTCAAGAGTTGGCCGAAGCGATTGACTCCTTAGTCACCCCGCAGACGCATCCTGACCCAACGGTACTCTGTTCGTTGGATACGTCTGAGGCCTTAGAGGACCTACAAAGTGAGTGGTCGGCAAGGGACCCTCGTGAGTCCTGGGTGGCATTAAGTTAAGGTCCTAGAGGGGAGCACTTCGTTGTGGAAGTTGGTGTGGGTGGCCGCAATTGCGGTGCCTTCGTAGACATCGACTCCACACGAAACTTTATAAGTCGCGACTGCGCCTACAGGACCGGCTGCAGCGCCTTAGTAGACCGGTAGCATGTCGGTGGAGGACTACGTGAAGGACGTGGTCTGCACCTTGTTCTATGCAAGAGG